ATAATAATAAAATAATAATAATAATAATAATAAATGTTTCTTGAGCAGCAAATCAGCATATTAAATAATTTCTGAAGGATCATGTGACACTGAAGGCTGATGAAAATTCAGCTTTGCACCACAGGAATAAATTACATTTTAAAACTTATTACAATAGAAAACTGTTCTTTTTAATTGTAATAATAGTATTGCACAATATTACTCCTTTAATATATTTTTGATCAAATAAATGTAGTCTTTGTGAGCATAAGAGACATTCAAAAATATTAAAATATCTTACAAACCGCAAACTTTTGAACGGAGTGTTTTCTTTTTTGTTGGGTTTAAAAATGTTTAGATACTTAATGACGAAAATTAGATTACAAGCTAAATTACAAGCAACTACAACTACAAGCAAGTCATTACAGATCATTCACATGTCTACGTCACTGTGTGGGAAGATTTGCATAACGCCGCCCAAATGTTCATGCAAAGAAATAAGGCATAACTTTATTGTTGCTGCCACCGCTATGTTGTGAAGACGCTGTGTGTTCCGTTGCGAAAGCGAAACTACTTTGTTTGGCCTTCCAAAAGAGGACACGACTAGAAATCAGTGGTTAAGTTGTATTTACAACACTGTTCCAGAAAAGTTCAACCCAAATATTCAGATGTGTGCAGCGAATTTTATGGAGGACTGTTTCCTGATCCTGGTAGAGTAGTAGACTACAATGCCAGCTGTTCTGACTCACAGACTTTAAATACGTTTTCATATTTAAAGAATTTGCAACGCAACGCGTAAAAAGGAACGATGAGCTTTGTAAAACTCGATGTGTTTCAGAAAGGCGGGGCATAGAGGAGAAACAATAATGTACATTATGTGGAAAATAATGTGTTTTTTTAACCTTAAACCACATAAACACATTTCATTACACCAAATACACAAAATAATGTTCTTTTTAGCAACATCATATGACCCCTTTAACAATCTAGTTTCTTCATAAACAGAAAGTTTCTGGAAATCCCTGAAGAGATTGAGGAGACCTGACTCACACAGCCAGATGGCATCCATTAAGGTGCTGCTTCCCAGTCTGGAAGTTTTTGATTTGGAGCAGGGATTATGTATGCCGCCCGCCCAAACACACACACACACACACACACACACACACACACTCTCACTCCGACGCATTTACTCAAACACACGCTCACGTGGGGAGTAACTGGAGCTGGTGCTGAGGAGGGGATGTGGGTGTAAAGGAATGCTGGTTTATTTGTCTAACCTCTGGATCTCGGTGCTTACCACAGTCACAGCTAGAGTCAGTGTGTGGGACATTCGGAATTCTTTAGATCCCATGTTTCACTATAATGCTGGACCAGCGTACCTCCTTCCTCTCGGAATATATTGTCAAGAAAGCCATCGGATGGGAAGGAATTTTCTCAGCCATTTACATTTACACTTCACCAAGCTGCTCTGCTTTAAATGATATGAGCTGAGAAATAACTGCAATGAAAATGTATTATTTAAAAATAACTATCCATTATCAGCACTGTCGAAAAATAAAATTATTAAAAATTATTTTTATTATTTATATTTGTTTTTATATTTATTATTTGTGTATATATATGTATGTGTATGTTCTTATTTTTTATTTTGTTTTTCATACATTTTTCTTATATTTTTCTTTTTTCCTTTTTCATTTTTAAAGTATTACCAAAAAATTCAATTTAAAACAAATCAGCATATTAGAATGATTTCTGAAGGATCATGCGACTCTGAAGGCTGGAGTAATGATGCTGAAAATTCTGCTTTGCATCACAGGAATAAGTTACGTTTCAAAATATATTTAAAATAGAAAACAATATAATTTCACAATATTACTATTTTTACTGTACTTTTGATCAAATAATTGCAGCCTTGTTGAGCTAAAGATCCATAGACGCTACTGCCATAGAAATTTCAATTCATCTTTAAAGCCAATACAAAGAGGCATTATTTTGAGCATTAACTCAATGAAACAACTATGAAGAAATGCTGTGCATGATTCAACCTTAAGTGCCCATGTAATCGCAGCCAAAAAAATACTCTGAGAGGAACATCAGGACATTAAAGTGCATATGAGCCACGCTGAGTGAATCATGGAAAATCAATGACTGCTGGGCATTGGACGGCTGGCCAAACATCCCTCTCACACTCAGTCAGCTGACATGGTGGAAATTACAATCAACATCACATCAATAGAAGGTCTTTGAATAAACAGATTAGTGTAAATCCTGACCATTAAGTCAGTCATTAAGCCAGTAATTGTTCAGCACCACCAGAGTACCAACCTCTGATTTTCACAAGGTAATTAGGGTAAAATCAATGACTCAAGCAACAAATTGCAGACTAATTACTCATTTAGTAGCCTAGCGGTTTTATCCCAAGTTACTTAAGGGCCCACTTTAAAAATTAAAAATATGTCATAATCTGCTCACCCTCACATTGATCAAGTATTATGTAAACAAGATTTGCGCACAATAGCAGTGAATCATTACTTAATTTCACTCACACTTTAGCATACTTAACAGTGTACGACTTTTGTTGGTGCTTCTTCCATCTTGCAGCTTGAACACTGCGGTCACCATTCACTTTCAATGCATGGAAAAGAGCAGTCTAGACAGTCTGCTCACTAGTTTATTTTGTGTTTACAGGGAAAAAAACATCATACCTCTTTTTACCAACAGAATAGTAGATTATGGCATAATGTTGATTAAGACCACAATGGTGAACAATGAAGGATCACTCCTGAGATTCAAACCTGCGACCTTCACTTCTCAGACCAGATTTTTAAGCACAATATGTACACTAAGTGAGCCTTACAAACAGGTTTTCAAAATGCCCTGGTAAATAATAATAATAATAATAATAAAGCAACCATTCTTTTCCAATTATATACATTATTCAGCTTCACTAGGACTGGCACATAATGAATTCATCCATGGCACTGACTCATTGACTCACTGAATCATTCCCGAAAATTAAATGGAGTGAACTACAGAATAGCAGATAACTTGCAAATGGAAATATAAGAAAACGATATAATATGTCATTCTCAACATGACATTATTCACAGCGCTTATTCACCCAACTATCTCAATGTAACGTTACACCTCGCAAACGTTTCAGTGGAAAACAGATATTTCAGCTTACCGAAAGCGGGGTGAATCTTTGATGCAGTCTTCAAAATCCACTGTCATCCTGGACGTAGAATTTCCAACTATTAAAACTGAAATTTCATCGCCGTCAGTAAACAAGAGCGTAAATGTAGGAGATCCCGCGCACTACAACCTCCTCCCTCCACAGGCAGCGAGTGACTCCACGGAGCGCAAAGACTCGCTCCTAATGCTACAGTAAGGGACTGTCAACAGTTTCTCTACTCGGACTAAAACGCGTAAAAGCGTGAACGGCTACCGTCAGACTTCAGACCAGTGTTTCCCAACCCATTCCCAGATGCACCGAAATTTCGGCTGCCGATAATTAGTTCACCGCTCAGGTTTCACAATCAGGTGGTGTGACGCTCTGCGTATTATCCCGCTCAGTTGCTCCACTCCTATACCGTTCATGCGAATCGGAACAGCAAAGTCCACTCAAAAATTGAGCCGACAGGAAACATCGATGTAGTACAGTATTGTTTCTG